TGTTTACAATAAAATTACAACAATAAATGTATGAATTAAAATTTTTAACTATGAATCATATGGTAATGACCCATGTTTATCTTCAAGGAAGTAGCACGAGGCTCTTGCATGACTGTAGGCTCACGGCAAGTTGTGGAATTTAGAAGTTTGGGTCCACCATCTCGTTCCATAGTAGGCTCATAAAGAAATGATAAACGAAGAAACAGATGAATGCTTGCAGGGTTTTGAAGTCTCATTTTATTGGGGAAGGTAAGAAACACTGAGCTGGTGGTTCATAGTGTATGTGTCGTAGGAAAAGTGTATTAGGATTGTGTTTTATAAATATACTTCTGGTTGTGCTGCCTGGAAAGCATGAGAGACTTCATATCTGAGTCCCCTGTAACTAGCAGCACAGTTAGTACTCAATAAATGATCCTTGATGAACACCTTATCCAATGTGTCTGTAAACAAACCCACTGGGTTTCTGGCTGATAATTGCTAACATTTCCTGTTTTTCTAGTGTATTAAAGAACAAGTTCTAGTTTAGAATCTTGTTTTTGGGAAACTTCTGCTACTTTTCTGCACATAATATTCTAGGCAGATAACTTTCCAGGATGGACTCATTAGTTCTCTCATCCCCAGGGAGGCCTTTCTGGTGCTCTATGTATACTATTGATCCCCACAATGAATGTACAGTAGTTTAGCCCAGTCTATCATACTCATGTGAGCTGAAGGAGAAAGCGAGGCCCTATGTCAAGGCTTAGACCTTTTAGTTTTTGTGCCTCTTCCTAACTGGCACCTAGATCCAACACCTGTCTTCAGTGGACTTGGCACACTGTTTTGCTTTCTTGTGTTTACCTCAACTTGTTGCCACAGATTACTTGAAGATTTGAGTTTTCATATTTTCCTTATCTCCCTCAGGCTTGGGTTATGTTGACTAGCCCTGCTAGCTACACACTGGTACTCAGTAAATATTAATTGAAGATTATCCAACTGTCAACAGTATTTTCTTGTTTTGTAGTTACTGAAAAGCTGAAGGCTGAGTTTAAAGCAACCTGCTTAAAGGCAAAACAATGGATCCCCAATAAGTCAGGGGCAAAATCTAGTCTTCCTTATAATGGCAGTCATTTACATTCTCCTCAATGAATTTACCTAGCAGGCTGGAACATTTGACAACCCTGAGTATCTAGCAAGTCCTTGAAAGCCCTGGCTAGAGCCAAGAGACCTACATACCAATTCTGACTTCTTCACTGTCTGAATGATTTGAGAACTCATTTTCCATTTATTCCTTCATGCAGTAAATATCAGCTCCACTGTGTGTCTAGTACTGTGCTAGAGCAAGATTGTTGTGGAACATTCCTTTACACTGTGTGAGGATGTGTCACTGTGATTGGTTTAATAAAAAGCTGAATGGCCAATAACTAGGCAAGAAGAGGTTAAATGGGACTTCTGGGAACAGAGAGGACTTGAAGAGGAAGAAAGGTGAGTCACCAGCCTGTTTCAGAGGAAGCAGGACATGCAGTAGGAGAGGCAAAAGTCAGGAGCCATGAGGCAGCATGTAGATCAATAGAAATGGATTAATTGAAGTTATAAGAACTAGTTAGAAATAAGCCCAGGCTAAGGCCAACCTTTCATAATTAATAAGTCTGTGTGTCATGATTTGAGGGCTGGCTGTCCATAAAAGCCTGCTATATGAAATGGTCATTTCATTCATGTGTTCAGAATCTAGATAGACATTAGCAAGCTGGAAGGCCAATGGGATGAACCCTCCCTCGTGGACTTTAGAACCCCGCCCCCCCCAACACACACACACCTAAAAAGAGAAGTGACTCTATGATTTAAATTACCATGTAAAAGGTGGAAGGTTTTTTTTGAGGAGCATTAAGACAAAGCCACTTTCTCCTGGTCAAAAGAATAGAGTAAGATAGTTCTGTGTCTAAGCCGGGGTGGAGGCACATCAGGCTAAGCTATATTACAATGGGGAAGAGGAGGAATAATGATTCTTTTTTTTTTTTTTTTTTTTTTTTGGTTTTTCGAGACAGGGTTTCTCTGTGTAGCTTTGCGCCTTTCCTGGGACTCACTTGGTAGCCCAGGCTGGCCTCGAACTCACAGAGATCCGCCTGCCTCTGCCTCCCGAGTGCTGGGATTAAAGGCGTGCGCCACCACCGCCCGGCTAATGATTCTCTTAATAATACGCTTTTCCTTCCCAGAAGACCTCACCCACACTGCAACCAGTCAGGCTCTTGCTAAGAGCACGGTGGCCCTGGCCTTCCTGCTTTTCTGAGCTCTTTCAGAAAAGGGCAACTTCCTCTTCTGCACCGTTTGCTTGAAGACACCAGGCATGCTTCTGTGAACACTGGGCTTTCTCACTTTTCTGTAAAGCTACTATTACCAAAATTACGGGTCACAGCCTGTGTTCCAACTCAGGTTTGGCTATCTTTCCTCAACAAGGCCACTAAAGGTGGACTGGAAAGCATAAAAAGGAGACTTATTCAATGAGGCCACACTGGACAGAGGGCCAAATCTCCAAATTCTGCCTTGGAGTTGAGTCTCCTGACATGAGGGTAAGGTTTGAATACAAACAAGGGCTATGGAACCAAACAATAGCAAGCCCACCACTATCTCAGCTCCAAATTTCTCCTGCAATGTCATCCCCAGAAAATAAGTTTCTTCTTGGCGGCCCCCAGGGCCATTTCTTCTTCCAGTGGTAGATCCCTGGGGGAAATTCTAATCTGTGTGTGTGTGTGTGTGTGTGTGTGTGTGTGTGTGTGTGTGTGTGTGTATGTGTGTACGTGTACATTTTTTTCCCAATGGGCTAATAGCCAAAGAGGGAGCCCCAGTGATATTTAGAGCACACCCATTCCTGCTCTGATAGGTGGATTACACCACCCCTTACAGGTGCAACAGCCGGGCCAAACTCCACCGCTGAACCTGCTGGCCGGCCTTTTCCAGTCCTTATTTTAAAGGGCACGGCTTTTTCTTTTTCCTCTCCTCCCTTTTCTGGCCACCTGCTGTGATTAGCAGTTTGCCTACCTTCTCAAACATTAATAAAATTGTCCCCAAGCTTCCTTCTTTTAAAATCCTTTAAGGAGACTAATAATCCCCAAGGAGGGACCCAAAGTAACAAACGGAACTTACATTCCAGTGGAATGATGGCATGTAGCACAACCCACAGGCTGTTTTCCCACACCAAGAAATAGCCTCCAAATTCAGTCTGAATGTCTGGAAACTAAATTTAACAATGGGTTGAAGTTCAGAATAAAGCAAACGCTACTGTTACCGTGAGTAGGTACCAGTTTGATACAAAGTTGTGTATATATATATTTTTTTCCTTTGCAAAGGAAACACGGCTGTTTTTCATTTTTCTATGTTGTCCCACAATACAGGTTGTGAGCCTCCCTCTCGCCACAAAGTTTAGCAGCCGCATCTCCTTGGAAAAGGCCTTGAGTGGTATGCCATTTGGTATTCTGAGGAAAGCTGTTTTAACGACTTCCTTTCTCTGGTGCATTTCCCAGGTGACTTGAGTTAGGGGTACAGGAGCGTCGACGTTTGCTGAGCCTGGGAGCAAGACCACGGTGAAGACTGGCCCTAAACACATGGGACCCGAGGAACGGACTCAAGACCTTGATGATTGCCACAGGCCCTGCAAGTTTCAAAGCAGGGCTCCGTCCTTAGTCCGGAAGCTTTCAGAAACGTGTTTGTTTTTTTTTTTCCAACCTACGCGTTTGCCCCATCTCCGCCGGCCCCGCCAAAGCGCCACACAGCAGCAGGACCAGCCGCTCAAACCAGCCTCCCAGGTACCTGGCTAGAGCCGGTCCCCCGGAGTCCCGTGGGCAGCACACTCACTGCGCATGCCCGGAGCCCAGCCCCCGCCCCCCCTCCTCCCGCCTCGGCCACGCCCACGAGGCCGCCACCTAGGGGCGGGGCGGCCCCCCGCTTGAATGGGGCGCGCATTCCAGCGGGAGCACGTGACGCGGCCGCGCGGCCTGAGGTA